TATTAAGATTAAAAGGACATTTTAAGGACAAATTTTATAATGTCAGTAAAAAATTATTAAATTGAAAACAGTTTATCAAAAAAAAAAAAAAAAAAATCACAAAAACAAGAAAAAAAAATTAAAAATTTTTGCTTTTAACTGAATAAAATTTTCCGATTTATAGTTAAGAATTAATTAAAAAAAAAAATTTTTTTTAATTTTAAATGTTTTTTATCTCTGTATTAATCATTTTAAACATTTTTTTTTTTAAATAGATCAATTTATGCATGTATGCATGCGTGTATAATATGTAAATATAATTTTAAAATACCTATATGTATGTGTACATATGTGTGTGTTTACATGCATGGGTTTTTAAGTGAAAGCTAAAATATATTTGAAATTTTGAATATTCATAAATCTTCTGAATAAATTAAATTTAAAATAATAAAAAAAAAAAAAAACAGAAAACACAAGGAAAACAAAAATTATATGTAGTGTTTTTTTTTTTTTCGTTTTTGGTGTGTGAATAAAACATAATAAAATATTTATGGTCTTAAAACATAAATAATTTTCTTTTGACATATTTCATTTTATATTTAAAATATGAAAATGCATTTTATTCAGAAAATGAAATATAATATTATATAATGCATATATAAACGTGTGTGCATGTATTGTGTATTGTGTTCGTGAATATGCATAAATTAATATGCGTATAAATTTGCATATGCATATGTTTTTAAACTCAAATATATTGTGTATATGTGTAGTGTATATAAGGGCATATTATTATTATGAATGTGTAAGGACACATATGAATTTATTAAAAATCCCTAAGGGAATTTTTGATTCCTATAAGTTCATATGTATATATATGTACACTAAGTTCCTCATTTTGAATAATAAACTTTTATATATTTGACTTATATACTATTATTGTATATATTTTTAGTTTATTTAAAAAATTTTGGAAAAAAATTTATTTATAATAAACTTGTATATATACAGATATGTAAAAATTATTATTGAATATAAAAATAGTAGATATATAGAAATTCGGATATAGAAAATAAAATTAATTTTAAAATCGTGTGTTGGAGGTACATAAACGCAAATTATATTGGCCATTATATAATAAAATTAGTACAACTTAAAATATACATATATGATATGAATTTATATATGTATGTATATATAAATAAGATTTTAATAGAGTTAACTTAATATTTAAAATAGAATATAAAATTTAATATGAAAAATATCAATTAAAAATATTTTACTCATATATATACATATGTATGTATGTGCAAATAACATATATATATTTAAGGAAAAGAAACAAATAATTTATATACATATATTTAGTATAATTAAATCGTATGTCCCAAATACATAAATGCGTATATAATTGGATTTTTAGTTGTTCAATAATAAAATTTTTTTTATAGTATGACTTTTATTAAAATTGGATATTGTATATAAGTACATATATATATGTATGTGTACATTCCTTGTATATCTAAATTAATTTTGAATATATTTTGATTGACATAATAATGGTTCTTTAAATGTTAAGAAAATTCTCTGTATTTTATAATTAAAATGAATTAAGTGAAAATAAAATTATTATATATAACGTTATAAGTGAATTTTAGTTGAATAAAAAATAGGGAAATCTAAACAATTTTTTATTTTTTATAATTTAATAATAACATCATTCAACTGCTATACATATAAATAGTCTTTTTAGGCAGTAAAACATAAGTCAATTGGCTCATTAACCATAAATTATAGTAATGAGGTAATTTAGAATAGAATGGCAATGAAGTGGAAACGGATTTTATTCTACAGTATATTTGATGGCTCGTTTTCATATAGTTGTTCTGTATAAGGCAATAAAAAACTTGTATATGCTCCATCAGAGAACTTCCATTAATGAAATTTATAAAAAATATCACTTAATTTAATAAAAATATTATACCCAATTTTAGTAACCAAAAAATTTCCAAATTATTTAAATTGAAGTAAGGTCTAAATATTTCAAAATTTTTTTAAATAATATTTGCATATGATTTGCATATGCAAAGTCAGGGGCTTAAATGCCTTAGTTTGTAAATGAACCGGTCTTTTCAGTATATATGAGTAAAGCATAATCTTATTTTTTTGTTATAACCAGTTTTTTCATATAGCTCGCATAACTGCATACACCATTTTACATATTTCATTGAGATAGTTAGGCTCAATTTTTGTCTACTCATGAGTAATTTAAACATGTAAATGGAACGCAAATATTAAATAAAAAAATTTTTTATTTTACGGAGTAAAAATAATTTAATATTGAATGATAAAAAGGACGAACCGGGTTGGAATTCCGATAAAAATGTTATTTAGAATTTTGCTGAAATATGGTCGAAATTTTTAAATTATAATAATTTCATGAATAAAATAATCAGATAATTTTCTCTCTAAAACTGTGACACACCAAACTAATGACACACCAATTAGATTTTTCAGATAAACAATGATTGCCCTATTCTTTCCAATTCACTACGCGAAAATTTCAAAAAAAAAAAATGTAGAAAAAAAAATCTCTTCAAATTCAATAATTTTTTTATTGGGCAAATATAAGAAAACTGGTATTAAGACAAAAATTATCTTAAATCTAATAATTTAAATTGAATTTTCTTGCTAGTGTATAGTGGCAACATGGTTTTCTTTAATAAGAAGAAATCAATAAGAAAGCTCAGAATAATTCCAAAAAAAAAAAATTTAAATTTATTTCTTAAATTTTTTTAATTTTCAATTTAAGTTCATTGAAATTATTATTGCACTCGTAATTTTATACTTGAGAAGTGTTTTTAATACGATCTTAATTTTTTTTAATAGGATGCACCTATATATGTCTACACCATATATAAGAAGACATTCAAGTGAATGTGATAATAATTGTATTTTAAAATTTATGTCATATATTTATCTCTCTATTTATATTATTTTTTTCATAACTATATCATAAAGTTTTTGTATAATTTTAATAGTAGATAAGCTTAACAAATTGTATAACACTTTTTTGAAAGGAACTTAGAATGCATTTAATATATAGATGAAAGAGTAAAATTTACAAATATGTAAGGACATTTATTTTAAATCACTTATAAATATAATGTATAAGTATGTATACACATATACATATATATATGTATATGTAAATAATAATAAAGCACATGATATATGTTTATGCTGCATTATAATTCATATAATTTCATACATGTAAAAAATATAGATTTTATACATACATATAAAATAAAAATGATTTAAAAATTATAGAAATTCAGAAAATTTTAAAATAAATTTTCTAAGTATAGTAGCTTTCAAGTACATTTATTATTTTATGAAATATTATTTTTAAAAAATATAAATTTTGTATTATATAAATGAAAAATAAATTTTTATAGGGTGTTTTCCATGAAAATTCTAACGACTACTCGAATTCGTTAGGAATTTTCAAATTTAAAACAGATTCATTAGTGGTTGTCACAATTTAATCAGATCGTTTTTAGTTCAACATCGTTTCGAAATTGCAACTTATAAAGCGCTTTTAAAAATTTACTATTACCTCTCTAAAGGTGTCAAAAATAAGGAAATTATATCTAATGCAGTTGTTATTAAACAGTTGTTATTTGCAGTCGGCTGCAACTGCATAATTATAATAGATAAACGGAACCAACATTTATTTACAGGGTTTTAATATACCGCTGTGTCATACAACACAATAGCTTTTTTAGTTCAGCAATCACTTTATTAAGTGAAAAGTTTGGCGTACCACTGTTAACCATATCTAAAGAGCCCTGATTTAACTTTATTGTATTATTTTTTGCAGGATATTTTATAAAATTGTTAGTCTAGCTATGTCTTCGATTAATGAGATAATTAAAAACTCCTACTTAATGCTGCATTTATGCAGATAGGGCTGCAAATATTATTAAAAGGGATCGAAAAATGGGTTTTTGAATTGTTTCAGTAAACGCATCGGAACTGGACGTCTAAATGATATTTAATTCTACACCTTTTTTGTTTCCTTACTTCACTTGGGAGCATTAGGGTTTTAGAGTCAAGCATTAATTTTTACAAGTCATTGGAGTTTACAAGACGTTGACCAGTCTGCCGTAGATTTATGAAGGATACAGAGAACTCTTCACTAACTTGTATTGAACATGATCCGAACTATAATATTCAAGTCATTCCGTACGTTTTCTTTCAATAACAAACTCGGATTTAGGTTCATTATATTTAATTAGGAAACACCCTATATCAATTTAAATTTCATAATTTTTGCTCTTTTTTGTAAATTATAGTATTCTCCAAATATTATAAAGTATATTATATTTAGTACATGGTAAAAGTTGAATATTAACTATTGGCTATTATTGTTAATAAATTAAAAAAAAATAATAAAACTAGGAAAAATTGACTTGTATTCTTATAAGGGCTATTATTTATTATTTGACATTTAAATTGTGATATAAAAGAATGATTTAGGGTTATTGCAGTACTTGTATAATAAGAAAATTTTTATTTTTTTTTTTTTTTTGTTTCAAAGGATCAGAATGGAAACAGTTCGATTAACTTAATTTAAAAATTTTGTAAAAAAAAAAATAAATATTTTTTTTTTTTAAATGTTGAATTGGGTTGTTAAAAATTTCTGAAAATGACTATAATTTTTTAAAATATTTTTATTGCTATGACATACATATAAGGTTGTTCATTTAGAATTTATTTTAGAATTATTATTGTTGTTCATTTTGAAAAAAATTTAAAATTTAATGTGTATGGCGTACAAAGTGTGACCAACTGAGTTTTAAGGGTTTGAGAGTGACTGTATAGCAAAAGCTTGGTTTGCCTGCTTTATAATCTTCATCAAGTCTAATTCTAAGCATAAGTAGAACATTTTTTTAACTCTTAGTTAAATTAAAACTATAAAATTCAATTTTTTTACAATTTTAAACTTCAATTTTTACCTTTGGTGATGGGAATACAGAAAATGTATTCATAATTCTATCTGGATATTCTTCACGAATTTTTGATATTAATAATGTACCCATACCAGAACCGGTACCACCACCTAAAGAATGTGCCAATTGAAAACCTTGAAGACAATCACATCCTTCTGCTTCATGACGTATTGTTTCTAATACGTTCTCCATTAATTCAGCTCCTTCAGTATAATGTCCTTTTGCCCAGTTATTACCTAAAAATTAAAATAATGAAAAATAATGAAATGAAAAATACAACATTCACTTACAACATGGGTTTTTTATTCAAATATGTGTCTGGCACTATGAAACTTTTTTTTTTTTTTTGTAAATTATAAAATTTTAAAATTTTCATATTTTTTGACAAAATTTCATTTTTTAAATATTTAATTGAATAATAACGTAATTATTATTTTTAAAATGAAACAAGAAAAAAATACAAGGGAATGCATTTTGTTGTTGTTCTCTGAATTGTACACCCCTTGTTGCAATATTTAAGGACAATGGGAGTTCATTTTGTTTCATTATTTTCATAGTAGTTTGTCAAATAATACAAAAATAATGTAAGTAATGTTTTTATGTAAGTAGAACATAAAAAAAAACTTATTTGAGATTTACTTTTTGCTGCCCAATAGGTTATTTGGAAATTCAAAATTGCCTTCATTTAAATTATTTTAATTTGAACGAGATTTTCCTAAAAATTTCTTCAATTAAGCTTCAATTTCTTATAAAAACCAATTTGTAATTTGAATCTTTAAAAAGAATACAACTCGGTTGGGGTTTAATCGCGCAATATAGTTTTCTATAAACATAATTATGAAGATTTACTAATTATGTATGTGCGCTCATATAATTTAAACACATTTTTCCCTATTTCTGTATTAAAAGCAAATAACGTGGCGTGATATTGTGATATACGAAAATTAGTACATTGCCTAAATATTTGGTTTCTAAAATTTAAAATCTCAGTATGTAAAATTGAATAAAACTAAAAGGTAAGAATGCAAAGCGTATAAATTAATAAATTGTTTTAAAAAGAAAATTGCATATTTCTAGGGGTATTACGTGTTATGGTGCGATAAATCGTTTTGTATTTTGTAAACCTTGCAAATAGTAAAACAAAATAACGTTAAAATTTTGCTAGGCTCTTACGTTTTTTCAAAACATGAAAGAACATTTTCATTAATTTCGTTTAGGATTAATTAAGGAGTCCTCAATTTGGTAGATGTAGAAGCAAAATTTAATGTTAAAAATTTTTTCAAAGAATCTGAATTAGTTTTGTTCTATTTACAAAATTTCAACGAAGAATTATTTACTTTTTCATTTTTATTTAAAAAACAGAATAAATTATTGGTTATTGTTGTTCGAAGAACAACATTAACCAATAATTTACGAAGAATTACCAGCCTTCTTTTAATATCAATTAAGTTTTTGATTTTTTCAGAATTCTATGGTAAATAAAATGTTTGAAAATTCAAAAATTCTAATTGAAAAACATTCTTATTCCACAATGTTACTGAAGTCAAAGAAATTGGATTGCTATAACAGTAGCAATAATAGCAGACGAAAATTAAAAAATTAATCATGAAGTTATAATGAAATTTTCTGCTCATAATTGTAGTGTGATTAAATATTTTATGTGCCCTATTTTGACATTTGAAATTTATGAGAAACGACTTAAATTTCAATTATAATGGAAAAATTGAATTTTACTCCAAGGGAAAATTAAATTCTTCTTGATATTCTTCTAATACTTTAGTTATTAAGCAAATAGCGATCATAGTATGTAATTTAGAATTGTTTAGTGTTTTCTTGTAATTCAATTACTTAAAGTTTAAAAAATTTTTATAGTTTTGTTGAGCTTTCTAATTCAATTTACTTACCAGCTCCAGATTGTCCAAAAACAAAATTATCTGGTCTAAATAATTGACCATAAGGTGACATACGAACTGAATCCATTGTCCCTGGTTCTAAATCAATTAAAACCGCACGTGGTACATATTTTCCACCACTTGCTTCATTATAATATACATCGATACGTTCAAGTTGTAAATCTGTATCACCATGATACATTCCATTTGGATCGATACCATGTTCATCTGATATTAATTCCCAAAACTAAAAATATAATCAAAAAAGCATAAAAGATTATTAAAATATTAGTGAATATAAGAATATAGGGTGTTTCAATATAAATTAATTTTTTAAATCTATCGCTATATAAATTTTTCATTCTGAAATGATTTACGTTTATTGACATTTCACTGGTCAACACAGTATCATCAAAATCCAAAAACGAAAGTGATTTATTAAACAAAATGATCGTAAATGACGCAAAAAAATTTGAATTTGGCGGGACTTGAATTTGAATTTCTGTTCTTAAAATTTGACAATTTTGATATCAAGTATACAACGATAAAATTAACCAAGTAAATTTGAAAAAAGAATAATGTTAATTTGTAATGAATTATTCGGAACGTTAATTAACTAATTAAACTAGATTTGCTTAAATAAAACATCATCCTTTTTGTTAAGTAAGATATTATGTAGGTCAGATTAATGATAGCCGGGCGGGCAATAAAAAAAAATTAATAATATTTAGTTAATTAGTTGCTAATCCCATTTTAATGAGAAATATTGGGGTTGAGGTTTATTTATTAAATGAATACATTTACATACATAGTATATTTAACTACAGTGTAGTAGGAAATATCTTTTTGTCGGAAAGGAAATAACGACAAAATTTAACATAAAAGAAAGTTTTTTAATTTCTCAACGAGATAAAATCATTCTCAGAAAATTATTTGAGGTCAGTCCAATAAAAGAACCAAGGACCATTTTAGCTGCTATCAACATTAATCTTAAACTATACTTTAATTTTTATTATTCAAATTAATGACCATTATGTACACATATATTCCGAAAATTTTGAATCAAAATCCATTTCTGGATTAATTGAAACACATTTACCAACTTTTGACAAAATTCAAATTTAACTATGAACATTTTTTACTTAAAATCGAAATTGATTGTAGCCACAGAACTGGACTAAATAATAATTCTGTATTGAAAGCATATGTAAGCAGGTTAATACAATTCGATTAATACAATTTCTAATTTAGTATATTAATTTAATTAATATTTAGTTGATTCAATTTTCCATTACTTGTACTATTGCTATAAATTGTCGAATAAATTAATGACACACATTCCTTCAAAATATTGTAAAAGTTTTTAAATTAATAAATTTCTTTAAATACAAAATGAATTCCAGTTAAATTTTATTGAACAAAATTAAATTATAAGAGTCGGGTTTAATATGCTAATAGGGTTCGTGACAATTTTTAGAATTGGTACGTACACAGCATTCAAAACTTTATCAAGCATTAACACGCATTAAAGCACTACGGATTTATTAATTGACGGAATAATTCTTATTTTTTCAAAATAACTCATTATTCTTATAAGGAGCGTCGAACTATAAATAAAATGTAGCAAGTAAATTTTATGTTTAATCAACAGACGATAGCTCTCCAGTTTTCTTCGTGATTTATAAGTGACTAAATAATCTAAATAAACTAATTAAAACTTTTATTAATTATAATTAGTTTTAACTTTTTTGATATCAAAATTTTATATTTATGATTTAATATGTGCCCCACAACGATATACTAGGGCGCAGAAACGATATACTAGGGCGCAGCTTGTTCTAAAAGTAAATCCGACACTGTGTATAACGTTTATAAATCATAATAATTATCACTGAAGTTTATGCACTGTCAAATATCAATATTTGAATGTTTTTTGCTATATAATTAAAAATTTCAAATAGCATTTTAAATTAATTTAATAATATTAAATAATTAAAAAAAAAAAAAACTTTTTTTATTGACTTAATATTTTTGCCTTTTTGAATTTTTCGAAATTATCATTATAACTTCTTTAATTAATAAAAGTAATTTTGTATAAGGGTTTTAATTTGAATTTGTATAACATTGTATATAATTACCAATGATAGAATGTACATAATTGATATATTACGCGTACGTTCACATATACGAATGTATGTACATATACATACATTTAATACATACCGTTATTAATAATAAAATAAAATTTTCTCGATGAAAAAATTTACTTACCGTAAAAATATATTTTTTTTTTCATAATATTCGAAAGAATTTTTTATTATTTTGATATACAAATATACTTATACGTAAGTATACAAAATAGGTTACTGAGAGTGTATGTGGTATATATTTATGACTGTATCATATATGAGAGATAAAAATCACTTAAATTAAAATGAAATTTATTTCATTTATCTTGAAATTTCCTTATGATTTCTTTCTTATTTTTTTTGTTTTGTTAACAGGACACCTTTGCATATACGCGTTTGAATTTTTTTTTCTTCAAGAGATCTGAATATTATTATGCATGCATACGGTATAAAGAGATACAGTGAGACCTTCTTAAAAGAAACTAGTCAAAGGAAATGTTCCTTATAATTTGAAGATACTGATATTTTCTATGCTGTTAGCAAAGTCATGAACCATTTAAGACTTCCCTTTTAAGTAGGAAAAACATCTGCCCGTAAGAAATAAAAGTGATACCAAGTTTATGTTTCTTATTTAAGGCGATTCAACTGTATGTTTTTGCATATGTAACTTCTTCGTTTGTTTTTCTAGAAAAGAAAAAAATTTCATATGGTATGTCATAATATAACACTTTCAAAGTTAATGTGTATAAAAGTCAAAACAAAATTATGATTACATCTGGATTCGCTTTTATGTACAACTTCATTTCCCTTTTTATTATTATATTTTATTTTTTTTTTATTTTCTACATTTATAAAATAAGCAAAAAATCCAAAGAAATGAAGAAAATGGTATTTTTTTTCCGGAAAAACCATAAAAGTACTTACACATCCATTGTACATATAAATGTACATGCATACAGATGTGTGTATGACGAAATGAATATTATGAATGTCTCAACTTGATAAGAAAATTTTCTTTAGAAGATCATTTCCTTTTTCATTTTTTATTTTTCTTTCATAATATTTTCTTCATGCGGTTTATATTAAAAAAAAAAAAGTGAAAAAAAAAATGAATGACAAATTTAAAATTTAAATTGAAAAATAATTTGTATGTCTGTCTGAAGGTGCTTCTTCTTAGACAAAGTTGAATTTTATTCAACTGACATTCTTCTTTTTTTATTAAAGTTGAAATATTTATGCAATTTAATCTAGTATGACGCACTTTAAATGTCAAATTTAATAAAAAAAATAAAAATTTTAATGTTGCCGTGTTTGAACAATTTAGGCGATTTTTCGAATTTTGCATTTTAAGTAAGACAAATTACTAAGTGGCAAGAGAAGATGTTCGTTTATTACAAAGCAGCAAGTGAAGATAATAATTTGGAAATTCGTCATCTTGAACTCACATGAATGTAGCTATATTTTGTGAGGCTTCAGTTTAAATTCAGAAAGTGTGTTTAAATATAAAAATTAAGAAGTGGAAAAATTTGAAGTGAACACTTATAAATTTCATGAAATTTTCCTAAAATCTCTGCATATTGAATTTTCGTATTATAACAGTAATTGACTCGAACCCAAACTAAAAGAGTTACAGTATTGAACTCACAGTTTAAAACTACAACATTTCTCTATCTGTACTACAAAAAATATAAGATTCAAGGAATTTTTATTTTATTAATAAAATTATTAATTTTTAATTGATTTTTTTTTATTACAATATTTGACAATATTTTAACTACATAATTTTAGGCGTTAATTTATAGAAACAATTTAAATAAATTTTAAACTTTAAAAAATAATATTAGTCCAAGACTCTAACAAAACGAAAAGAGTATAATGTTATATTTTTATGGAAAGAGAAAAAAGAGAACAAAATTGTCGTCTATTGAGATTTTTTTTTTGTTTCAAAAGAGTAAATGTCATAAAATTGTTTATTTTCTACACTTAATCGATAAAATTATGAATTTCAAATTACTTCCACTAAATAAAAATTCGGCTTTGTTTTTCTTAACTGTTTTTAATTTTTTACCGACCGTATTATGTAAACAATAGGTAGGTTATTTTCGTTATAAGTAGCAAATGCAGTAGTTTTGAAAATTGTTATTACTACAAAAACTGTCAAAAGAGAATTTCTCAAAATGCAGCTAAATTAAACAAGAGTAAAAACTTTATTTGCTGCAAGTATAGCGACATTAAAACAATTTGCAGTACACATGCTGAGATTTGTTTTCTTTTCAAAGCCATTTGAATTCTATGTAAGAAAATACCAACACAAACTGCATTTTTCGGAAATCAAAAAACATTTCTGCAGCATTGTTAAAGTTATTGTCTTTAAGTTATTTAAAAATTGACAAGGCAATAAACCAGACTTCTTCCATTAGAATGTAAAAACTAACACACAAGCGTGTGTCAGAGTACAAGCAAACTCTACATATCATCTACAAGAATAAGCTACTTACTACATAAACATACTCGTATGTACATTATATAATATACATACGCAATAGAATTCACATTAGAATATTGAAAAATTTGAAGTAATGTTCATTTTTATAAAATATCGTATATTTTTCATTTCTTTTAAAAAAAAATTTTTTTTCCTTTTCATATCATTATTAATGTAGAACATTTTCAAATATTATTATTGTTATTTTTATTATTTTCATTATTATTTGTATGCGTTATACAAATAAAACTTACAATTACATTTATTTCGTCGCGTAAAGGATATTATTATTATTATTTATGATCTCTTCAGAGGAATCAAAAATAAAAGTAGAGAGTAGAAGTAAATTTAACGCAGGATGAAAGAAACGTTATCCTTTTTATTCTTTTATTTTTTTTTGTTTTTAAAGAAAAGCAACAAGAAAATGAAAAATCTTTAACATATTATGCAAGTAAAGGTATCAAATACACATATATATGCATATATTTAAGACTCTATATTTACTTCTTTTAGAATAAAGCAAGTTCCGGAACCACATATGGATTTAAAGATAAAATGATGAAAGAAAAATCAAAAAGAAAAAAAAAATGGGTATAAAAACCTTAAAGGATTGATACGTAAAACGCGCACTTA